TCCTCTGCGAAACGCGTGGCATGAAGCCCCACCCCACCCCCAAATGGTGTTGCAAGGCTTCTGAGCCGAGGACGGGTAGCAAAGCTAACCACTCGCTCTGACACCTGTCCGATGGCCCGTGAGTCTTGCTCACGGCGAAGCAGATCCAGACACTAGAAAATCACATGGCTCCTAGACACAGATCTTCATGAGAAGGACTCGAGGTTCTGCCAACACATTTTAATCACTGGAGGAGCCGTTCCTGCCCGCTCCCTCATCGATGGAACTGGGTTGCCACAGAGCCATCACTTCTCCCTGCGGCCCTGGCGCCAGCCCCCTCAGGCCTGAGTGCCCAGGGGAGAAGCATTTCAGCAGATGTTTGATTCCTGCCCCATAGTCCTGCCCACAGGGTTGCAAGAACTCCTGCCCGAAGGGGTGAGCAGAAAACCACAGGAAACAGTGACTGGTTCTGAGAACATGTCACTTCCTGCTTCTGAAGAACCTCCAGGGGTAGGAGGCCGTAAGAGGCTCCACCCGTGGGTGGGGTGGGGAGGAGAGGGATACGGTGGGTCAAGAATCCCCTTTTCAGTTTTTCTGGTCAGAGAAACTCACAGCCCCTTCCAACCCATCCTGGGCCGCCTCAGGTGCACCTGCGCTGGTTCTGAGGAAGGACAGGAGCCGGGTGAGGCCTGGCGAGGGGCCAGAGGGAGCCCGGCGCTCAGAGGTGCTGACAGGGCTGGGTGGGCCTTGAGTGGGTTACATGTTTACCGTGCGCAGAGGAGGCCTACGAGAAAGGTGGATGGTCCCCCAGTCAGCGGCTCCTGCATCTAAACGCCACCTCCCAGAATGTCCTGTAGAGACCAGCACCTTGCCCCTCTCCCTCTAAGACAGGGAAGGACCGGACGCCCACGTTCACACAAATAGCAGTGCCAGGGCTGAGACTAGCTCAGGGGTTCTGCAACCCAAGCTCACCTGAACCTCAAGGGGCAGCCTGAAGGTGGAAGGAGAATGCCTGGGAGGCCATGAGGCCTCGGGCTGTGGCAGGAAGGAAGCGGGGCGTGAAGGGAGGAGGGAGTTAAAACCCAGAGAAGAGTGAGTGTGGCCCTTTTCCTGAAGCCCCCGGAAGCTGTTGGCAGTTTACGCAGGAGAGCAACATGGGCAGAGAGGGTTTGGGAACATCCTGGGTGCTCGGGAGCAGGCTGGATGTAGGGAGCAAGACCAGAGGTAGGATGACCGGTCACAAGTGCTGAGGCACCACTTCTGGAAAGCAGCACCCGGCAGCTTTTAGAATGCACAGCCCCTGACGACACACGACAGTCATCCGGAAACTTGGAGCTGGCGGGGCGGACAGCATCGGCCTGGGAGCTTAGATGGTGTGTGTGCGTGTGTGTGTGCGTGTGTGCGCGCGCGCGCTGGGGAGACAGGGTTTTACCCTTTGGGCAAAGTCAAATCAGACAAACATGGGAGAGGTAAAACAGGAGGGAAATGATTGGTTTTCAGAGGGTTAGCTCCTCTCTGACCCCCAACAGTCCCGGGCGCGGCCAGGGGTGCCCCCCAGTCACTCACCGGTCCCCGAGGTGAAGCCAGGCTGCTGGAAGTTGTAGTTCTTGATCTCACTGTACCACCTATCAGCCACCTCCTGTCCTGTTCGGAGAAGACACTGTTTAAAACTCAGCAGCAAAATCAACCCGCTCCCATTCCTTCCATCTACTCCCACCACCCGCAAGCCACTCGCCCCACAGTGAGGGGTCCGAGAAGGCACCCATCAGCTGAAACAGGACTCCTGCCCAGGGGCACACCTGAGCTCAAGAGGTGGCCCTGGGGGTTTGGGGGAGCCCTGGCCTGGGATCACCCGCATCTGTCCCTCGCCCGGCCACGAACTCGCCGTGGCATCCTAGGCAAGGCCTTCCCCGCCCTGGGCCTCCGCAAAGAGGGCTCCATGCAATGCCCTCCAGGGGCTTCTGGTGATGTCCCTAGTGTTCCAGAGCCTCCCTCCGCCCACCCCAAGCCTGGCTCCTGGAACATCCACAGGAGGGAAGGCAACTGGGCTGCTGGGCCCTGGTGTCCGCAGCAGGCAGACCGGTCCTCGCTGGGAGCAGCCCCTGGCCTAGACGTGCTGATGGGAGGGGCGCTCAGCATTTCCCTGGGAGCTGAGGATCTCAGGGTCAGAGCTAGAAGGAGCCTGGGAGCTGCGGATCTCAGGGTCAGAGCTAGAAGGAGCCTCGGAGCTCAGAGCAGAATCGCAAGCTTGAATGTGTGCTCACGTCACCTGGGGCTCTTGCTAAAGTGCAGTAGGTCTCGGGGCAGCCTGTGAGTCTGCATTCCTAACAGGTGCCCAGAGGCTCCTGCTGGCTATGCACCACGCTCTGAGCGGCAAGGAAGGCCTTCGAGAGCCGCGGCCACACACTGGCCTCGGTGGGGAACATGTGAAAGCTGCTGGTGCCTGGAACCTGCCGCAAACGGATGGCACATGTATCTCTAGAGGAGAGACCCGGGCACTGGTGTGTTTAAAAAGCACCACAAGATCCCATGTGCAGCCAGTGTGGGGAACCGCTGCCTTAGCGACCACTTACCCAGCCCCCTCTCTGTCGAGATGGGAAACTGAGGCCAGAGAGGGAAAGGCTTGGTCAAGGCTCCCTAGGGAGCCAGTTCAAGGCTGGGAGGGAACCTCCTCTCCTACTGGCTCTTTCCCATCCCTCTCCCTCCTCCCCTGGACCCGCCAGGCCCAAGACCAGGCCAGGGAGGAGGCTGCGGGCTGTGGACTCCTGCCTTCCCCCGGGAGCATGCGCGCCCCTCTCCCCGAGGGGCCCGGAGCTGGGGAACCAAGAGGACACTCGGGCCTCCCCAGGGGACTCCCAGGAATGTGAGGCCCGGGAGGGAGGAGGCGGCTGCCCCTGGGCTTGGAGAAGGCTTCAGGGAGGGAGGCCGTGCTCGCCAGCATTTTTCCTAAAAAGCCAGGACAGGGCTGTCAGACCAGGAGGCTCAAGGATGTCTGGCCCGTGTGGCGGGGTCGCCACTGCAGGCTGAGCCGTCAGAGGAAGGGCTGTCCTGCCCGTGATGGTGATTTTCTTTCCGTGTGAAAAGCTCTGCTGTGCTTTTCTGGTGAGAAAGTTACTACCCCAGCTCTGGGAAACAATCTGTTTCAGAAGAATGGGACGCAAGTAACTAACATTCTTCTGCAGCTGGGGATGCTGGAGAGCAGG